GAAACCAGGCAGTTAAAACACATATTATAAAAGCCTGACATTTTTGAACATATGAAAATCTCTCCCCCACCCCTCGCCTCTCACTCCACATATATTGTTTTAAAACTGTTATTAATGAAAGCTCGGAGTAAATTTATAATCTTGTCCATTAAATGGCTTTTCTAGCTTCTAAAAGGAAAACATTTAAACAAGTCTAGATGAGAACCAGGCAGTTAAAACACATATTATAAAAGCCTGACATTTTTGAACATATGAAAATCTCTCCCCCACCCCTCGCCTCTCACTCCACATATATTGTTTTAAAACTGTTATTAATGAAAGCTCGGAGTAAATTTATAATCTTGTCCATTAAATGGCTTTTCTAGCTTCTAAAAGGAAAACATTTAAACAAGTCTAGATGAGTACAGAATCCTAAAATAATCAACCATAATGAAACAATTAATTTCCCAAGCTTAAAAGTAATAGTTCTTCAAATCAGCAACCTGAACATGCTACACACCCAGGTAAATAACATTTTATGAGATCAACTGTTGCAATTGGATTGTAGGAAAACCTAACTCCTGTACTTTAATATAAGTATATAGCTACAAAAATGTCCAGTTCTTTATTAAAGTTGTTTAAAATTATTAGCTTGAAGCACATTTATTTTTCTAAGATATGGTAAAACTACATTTAACAAGTTTTAAAGACAAGCACAGAACATTCAGGCCCAGGGTTCTGAAATACAAGAATCCCTTTGACGAAGCCAGACACAGAAGAATAAACAGATTATTAGACAATAGAAATATTGTACTCCAACTCAGTGGCCCATAAATCCTTGTAAGCATCTCAGAAAAGAGAATGTCAAGACTTAGGGAGCTGTACAATATGCAAAAAATAATTTTCCTACATATGTAAATCCCCTAAGTATTCTCCTAAAATGTTGCTGTTGATCAGAAGATAGCAAAATAAATCATATATACAATGGTGTAATTTAAACCTCAACATTTGCTAGTTGGGGTGGTGACTATAACATGGTATCTTCTATTTCATGTAGAGGAAGATACTGTTATTTCTACAAAAATTAAGCGTTGAATTTTTAATGGAAGCCACGGACAGAGTAAAATGTTAGTGTGATACTTTCACTAATACCAGTAGAACTCTCAGAACTATTAGGCTGAATTTCTAAGGAGAGGTAGCATTGCCAGTCTGTCAAACAATCAGAGCAATTCCAGTGGACTTTGAAGAAAGAAACTTGTTTCTGTCTCCATCTTATCTTTATAACTTGTAGTTCTGAATACCCCAGTAATACTGTTGGGACCTCTGTGACACAAGTATAGGACTGCAAATTGTTCAAGACCATGCAGCAAAAGGAGTACAAATCAAGGAGTTTCTAGTGCTTAGTACCAAGCTAAATCCACCTAATTACATCCACCTACTTCTAAAAAGTCTCATGCTGTTCTGCTTCTCTCAAAACTGATCAAACTAAACTGATTCTAGAAAATGTATTAATAATATTAATAAATACATGGGGTGGGGGGAGTAGTACAGTTATAGTTCCTAAAGGCCAGAACTCTGTTGTAATAGTCATGGATTGCTCATGAATCCCCACCTCCCTTTCTCTCGAGGCCCTACCCCCACTCTACCTCCTCCATCCAAGGTGTAGAGATATGGGCTCTTGCTCAAGGCATCAAGAGTCATCAGATACCATAGCATTATACCACTCTGTGATGACCAACCAAAAATAGAGTGTCCTTTTGAATGAACAAATCAGCAAAGCACACTCTCTCAATGATGGTCTACCACAGGGATCTATACTGGCTACTTTAGTATTCAAAATCTGTGTTAATGACTTATCTGGGATAATTTTGCATAAATTTATTTACACTAACAACAACTAGTGATGTAAAGGGTTAATCAGAATGGAGCAGTGAGCCTGGCCAGAGCCCCATGTAATGTTTAACCGGTTAACTTTTTCAACAGGACTTTACACTTATGGTACCAGGCAAAGACCCCATCACCATCACACACTTCCTCTCTTCTTATGTTAATGATAGAATATTTTCAATATGGGAAATTCCATGCCAGTGCTCCAAAACCTAAATAATAGTCTTTGGCCTAAACAACAATGCTGCCAAAGAACCACAGGAAGGAAGTCAACAGGTCTGAAATAAACCCTGTCTGAACCTTGGACAGAATTTTGAGTTATAAAGCCCATCTCAAAAAGAAAAGCAAAAAAGTAAAAGCAAGGGCTAGTCTTGTCCAAAAACTTGAGGACACAACCTCAGGTGCCAACGCATGCATATTTCAAACAATTACTCTAGCACTGGTATCCTTGGCTGCTGAATATCGGACACCAGTCTGGGCAGATAGCTTATATACTCATCTTTAGGCAGGCAATTTAATGCTGCAATGAAAACCATAACAAGAACATTAAAATCAACTCTTATACAATGATTGCCTGCTTTGGCACATATACTCACCTACAAAATCCATAATTCTTGTGAATATAGGTAACCCATGGCCAACCTAAACTTTCCAATTCATGAGAACCACCTGAACCTTCTCAAAATATGTCTGAAACCTAGAAGATTTTCCAAGATAGGTTTTAAAGCATCTTCTTTCAATCTTGACGTACACTGGAAAGAATTCTGTGATAATTTAATGTTTCAAACAAATACCTCATTGTGGACCCCCTCAAAGAACTTGCACACTTCAACCTACACTGGAAAAAATGGCCTACATTGATCCATTTTAGAGCATTGCATAGCAGATGTGATCGTCTCTTGCACCTTTGGAAGGTGAGTGACACTCAGTGTAGCTGTGGACACCAGTTAAAAACTGTAGACCGTACTGTAAATCAGTGTCTACTTTGATTTTTTACTGGTGAAATCTCAAACATACATCAAGTAACTCCCAAAAACACACTGGCTCACTAATTTTAACTTGTTTATCTTCATGACTCCTCTTGTCACATGAAGGAAGCAGAAGCAGTACAGATTAAAGAACAGATGAAACTGCTCTTTCGGGGTATGTCTACACTAGCTTGTTAATTCGAGCTAGGTAGGCAAATGAGGCGACCGGAGTTGTAAATGAAGCCTGGGATTTAAATATCCTGGGCTTTATTTGCATGTTTCCGTCCGGTCGCCATTTTGAAATTTCACTAACCCGAACTCACTGCCACGTGGCTACACGCGGCAGTGAAACGTTAATTCAAACTAAGTCTTTAGTTCGAATTAACTGTTACTCCTCATTCCACGAGGAGTAACAGTTAATTCGAACTTAGGACTTAGTTCAAATTAACGCTTCACTGCCACGTGTAGCCGCGCGGCAGTGAGTTCGGGCTAGTGAAATTTCAAAATGGAGACCGGACGGGAACATGCAAATAAAGCCCAGGATATTTAAATCCCGGGCTTCATTTGCAACTCCGGTCGCCTCATTTGCCTACCTAGCTCAAATTAACGAGGTAGTGTAGACATACCCTCAGATACTTTCACAATATGACTTCTGTTACCAGATTATTCTGAAATGGAGTAAGGGAACTAAAGGCAAATATTAACATTAAATATTATATATTTATAAAGAACATGAAAAATTATAAGTTCTGCAGAAGTGCTAAATACTAACATGTCAATTTAATGAAGACATTATATACTTATTCTCAGGGCTCGACAAATAATGTATTCTACTCGCCCGTGGTGAGTAGATTACAACGCGGAAGGGCCGGCACAGAGCGATCTGTGCATGCGCAGAAAGATCTGTGCATGCGCAGAGTGCAGAACCGCGTGGCTGGCGAGCAGGGCTTGCCGCTGCTTGGTGAGCCCTGCTTATTTTAATACTAATTCTATTTATTATTAATAGTTATTAAAATATAAAATTGTACCTAACTAGCAAATGAATAACTCAACAAGCAAATTAGTGACTAATCATTGAAAAAAATGTGTCTTCCAGGTTCGAGACATCTCAAAAAGCAAAAAAGACTGTATTTTGTTGTTCAATATTCATTACTAAGGTCCTACCAAATTCATGGTCCATTTTGGTCAATTTCACAGTCATAGTATTTTTTTTAAAATCATACATTTCGTGATTTCAATTATTTAAATCTGAAATTTCACAATGTTGAAATTTTGGAGGCCTGACCCAGAACGGAAGTGTGTGGGGTTCATATAGTAGGAGCTCTGCAGTGCTGCTACCCTTACTTCTGCATGGCTGATGGTGTTAACACTGCTATCAGAGCTGCATGGCAGGGGAGCAAAAGCTGTTGGCTTTGAAAACAGAGCCATTGTCAGCAGCAGTATAAAAGTAAGGATGCCATGGTATAGTACTGCTACCATTACTTCTTCTCTGCTGCTGAGGTGCTTCCTTCAGAGCTGCTCACCTGGCCAACAGCCACAGCTTTCCATATGCCCAGCTCTGAAGGCAACACAGAAATACGTGTGGCACTACTGAAACCCTACGCACCTCTTCTGAGTTAGGACTCCCAATCTGAGAAATACTAGTCTCCCCAGTGAAGATAATACAGGGGAAAGCACACAGAAGACCAGATTTCATGGGGGGAAGACCAGATGCATCACCATCCATGATGTATTTTTCATGTTTGTGAAGGGGGGAAGACCAGATGCATCAACATCCATGATGTATTTTTCATGTTTGTGAATTTGGTAGGACTTTATTTGTAACTAACAGAGAGACAAGAATACTAGATGGTAAGGTAATAAAACCCTCCAATGGTATATTAAGTAAATATAGGCTGTGCCTCCCTGGTCCAGCAGGGCTGGTCCTGAACCAAGGAACTGGCCAGACCAGTGGAGGAGAATGACAGCCCTCTTCTGCCACTGGCAATGGTGCTCTGCTCAAGTGGCAGCACAGGAGCTGGCATTGACCAAGCTGGAATGGGACGGGGAGGGAAGAGGCTCAGGAGCAGAGGTAGGGTTGTTGTGGAGCCCTGTATCCAGGAGCGCAGCCCTGCAAGAGAGCTCTGAGCCTGCGGCCAATGGGCTGCACTCCTGATCCTCACTAACAGCTACAGGGCTGTGCTCCTGGCTCTTGTCCACAGGGTTCTGCAGGCACCCTGCCACTCCTCCCCCCGAATACTCTTCACCAGTTCCCACTCCTCCCCTTCCTCTCTGAGCTTGAACTTATTTGTGATACTATAGAAACTCTGGGAGGGCAGGGAAGGAGTTGCTGAGCAGGAGGCTTCTGGCTTTTCCCTGTAAGTGCTCCAAACCCAGAAGCACCCAAGTAGATGCTGGAAAATAGATGTTGTCAGGCAAGGGAAGTCCAGATTATAGAAGTCCAACCTGTACTGTAAATTGTAACAAGAGTGACAAGTCTGTTTTTAAAAAAAAGGAAAGTTGCAGATTATTCCTTTCCTCCAAGATTCACTGCAACTGTGAACATGGGTCAAGGGGATGTGTCTCACTCTTTAAAATTTAGACAAAATTCAGAACAATGAGCATAATTCTGACCTCACCTGGTTACCTGCATGTGACCCCAGAGAAATCCATGAAGCTAAAACAGAATTTGGCAATTACATTAATCTCATTATAGTTGGATGTAATCCCATTATAGTTATCCTTTTATACATGTTTTTAACAACCTTTAATTATCCTCTGCCAATATAAATGTTCCAGAGAATAATAAATACAGACTACAATAGCATTACCAAATTTTCAGTGAAATGACAATTTTAGATATTTCTGTGACATAGTTAGTTGATCACCCTAGCTACCAACTCTGTGCAACCCATGGCTACTGTTCTTCTGTTTCCTGTGATGCAGGAGACAATGGGTGTATTCACAATTCATTAAAAGCAAAATCGTAATGTAATTTATCTAAACCATAAATGGATGGTAATTTGGCATGGTTCAAGACCAATTTAGTGCTGGTCTTGCTAAATCTAACTACCAAAAAATCCCCCACTTTATCCACAATATCCTGCTAAAGCAATGTCAGCATATTTTTGGAAGCACACAACTTTGGAGGAAAATACATACTACTAAATAATTCAATAACTTTGGGTTCATGCACCAATACTCCCTCTCCCCCCTGCAGAACACACTGGACATATCTGCATACACTCTGAACCATATTCAAAACCTGGGCAGAGTTCTTCAGAATGGGATGTGAATTCTGCCTTAGGCAGATTGACAGGATTTTCTTTGATCTTTGATATGGGAAAAACTACTGAGAAAAATGCTGCTGACAGTTTGAAATTTAAAAAGAAAGATACCATCAATTTCAAAACATCTCATTTAAGTTATGAAACAAAAGTATTTTTATGATGTAATCACCATGGAGTTATAATGCAACAAGTGAGAGACAACTATATAGCATTTTAATTCTTGCACACTAATAAAAGAGTACCTTTAAATATTAGTATCTCATTTTAATTGAAAATTGCTAACTGCAGACTATGCCATTTTAAAACATGTTTTATAGTTCTGATTACTCTCCTCATACACAACCGTTCTTAGAACCAGCCAAACATCTGACTTGAAAATAACTTAATCTGCCTCCGGGAAGACACACACATTTTAATTTAAAACGGCTCATTTGTATCTGATACCTTCTTGGTCCTTGGGTTTTCCTCGACAATGAATTTTCTAGAGTTGCAAGTTACTAACATGCCGCACAGAACTAACGCAGTGACTCTGTATTAGCATAACATTTGTTCTTGAAGCATAATTCTTCTGGCATTACTTTACCTTGTGCTGTAAAAGAAATCTACTCTTTGCGCCTTTGTCAATGCTTTCATTCGGTTCCTATCATAGGCACCAGGTGTGAATGTAATGGAGAAGCACTGAATCCAACAATTAATTGTGTATAAGAGCAAAAGGAAAAGCGCCTACTTGGGAATCTGTCCAAGATTCACTACAGTTCCAAAAGGCTAATCCCTGAACCGGATAGATACCAAAGATAGCGTCTACGAACCCTTTTCAAAGGTGCCTTTTCTCTCCTTCCAAACGGCTGCAGGAATCTAGCAATCCTTTTCCAGAAGGAGACTGTGGGGAACAGCTAGGAGTGGGACTTAAATTTTTATTCTGCCTGATCCCTCCTCCTCCCTTCTGTTCCTTCCTATTTTTGGCACAGTACCTTGTTGGCTAGAAGGAGTACCTCTCGCCGATCTGTTTCTTAGATCTGAACTCCACTTTCAAAGAGCTGAACTTTTGGCTCCAGATAGCGTTCACACAGAAACATTAACGCTGCCCCATACGCAAAGCACATTAAGAATGGGCATTGTATTTGGCATGTTCCCTGGTTGCCTCGAAAGTGAAGAGCAACTTCTTGTCTTCAAGCTGACTATAAATAATTTTTAATCGGTCTTCCCAGGATTTTATAGGACACGTCCTTAGCAAATCCAGATCCTGGCCAGGGCACTATCTGTTGGCATGTGTGAACGGACTTTGTCCATTCTTCTAGCTCTAGCTTTCCGCGCAGAATAAAGCTGAGTCTCATCAGGGGCTAAAGAAGAAATCTGGCCTGAGTCTCGCCTCTTTCCATGCATGAAGGCACAGACCAAGGACAGACCTCGCAGCTGGAGAGAGTCCTTCCTTACCACGCTGTTCCGAAAGTTAAAAATACTCCTCGGCCCGAAGCAGAAAGCGCAGGGACTTGGAGCCGAAACTTACAGTCCTCCGCCTGCCAACCCCCATCCCTGCTGCTGCGGCCGCCGCCTAGCGCTCGCGCCTCCCGGCAAGCCCCGCCGCCCCTGCCCACCTGAGACAGCTCCGGGTCCCGCGCGGGCTGCTAAAGCGGGGAGCGGACCCCGCTCAGCCCGGGTCCCTCCGGTCCGGCCGGGCTTTGCCTCTCGCTTTGCCCGGCGGCAGAAAGCGGGGGCTGAAGTGGCCAAGCAGCTGCCACTGCTCTGGGCGGGCGCTGAGCGGAGCGGGAGGCTGGGGGCGGTTGTGGGGAGGTCTCTACATTACACCGGCGCCTCCCGGCTTCCAGCGGGCGGGAGATTATTCAGGTGGCTGCGCCTCGGGACAACCCGGAGGCCGGGCTGGAGGCGCCGCGGGGAGCTCGGGCTCCGAAGCACCAGCAGGCGAAAGTGCTCAGGCAGCTGGGAGCCCCGCAGCCTGCCCGGGACACAGCCCCGCACCCCGCGGAAACACACCCCGGCCACACGCTGCCCCACGGTGCACACCCCTGTGGCACCCCGCCCACCGCACGCTGCCCCGAGACACCCGCTGCCCGCCCCCCGCAGGCTGTCTGAGGGCACACACTACAGCGTGTGTGCGTGAGGGGGACAGCCGCTCAGAGTCGCTCAGTGCTCCACGAACACCCACCCACTGCTGCAAGGACAAACTCCAGAAACACCCACCCAGTACATGCTGCCCAGACACGCCCACCCATTCACCACACCCTGCCCTGTCACCGGGGACACACACTACAGTGGGGACACAACACCTGAGAGTTACACAGAGAGCACCCACCCACTGCTTCTGGGGCACCCTAGAGACACCCATTTATCACCCACTTCTCCAGCAGGGCACATTACAGTGGGGGAACAACATCACAGAAGACCTCACCCCCAGAGAGAGAGTCTGCTCCAGGGGCAGGCAACCCTAGGACACACACCACTCCCGCAGACACACTCCGCACATTGCAGCAGGGTCACACACTGCAATGTGTTTCCCTACTTCTCTGCCAGCAACACACCCACACTGCACCTTTGGAATACATACACATATGCCAGAGACAGGAGACACGGGAATATATTCACCAACCCAGGGATGTACATACTACCTGGAGGACATACACAGTATATGCAATGGCTTCCAGTGGAGTGACATTTAAAAGAACCTGGCACTTAGGAAAATGCTACTAATTCAGCAACAAAAGGGCTCCTTGTGCCAAGTGACTGGATTCCACTACAGTTTTGGAATTTTTAAATCATTTTCATAAGGATGGATAAACAAGTTTGTTTCATCTATTTTTAGAAACAAACACTTTTGTTACACTGCAATATTCAGAAAATTCTATTTTTGCACAGAAAAATCTCACTTCCAGTTTCTATCCAGATGTAAAATGCTGGAAGAAAGACAGACCTCATGGTATTTCCATCCGGTCCTAGTAATGGAAGTACTGGAAACCTCATGAGGAAACATTTTTTCAGTCCTAAGTTTTCATTGCAGAAATTAGGAAAGTGTGGATAAGCTTTGAATGAACATCCAAATGTTGGGATGCTTATCTTAACCACAACCTAAAGTGAACCTTTAAAGTTTTCTATTTTTTTTACATACATGTGGTAACAAAGCCAAAAATAAAGGATCACAGAGACAAAATAAATAATTCCATATTAGTCACATTCAATTAGTGTTCAGTCATGTCATAAAATCATCTATTTTTCTGTTGTAAAATGTAAATTAAATGCCAAACACTATTTGAACTAATGGAGTAGTAGTTTATTATCCCCTATGGGAATGAGGACTACAAGAGAGATGCTCGTGTGTTTTACAGCTGTTTGCAAGAGCAGAGGAATGGTGAGGCTCAGAGCACTTAGATTCAATTTCAAGTTTGGAAGGGGAGTGTTCGCTGGTAGTCACAGACACGTCAACCCATTTCCTACAAGACTGCTCCAGTTTTGTTCTCCTATCTAACTCCCTCCCATACACCCACTCCCCCGCATTCCTGGTTTCCTTCTCCCCTCATTATTCTTCATGCTTTGCCACCTGCCCTATACACCAATCATTCCCCAATTCCTTTTCATTGACTCTCTTTTCCTATCCAACCTTTTGGGTCCTACCTCCACCACACTCCATCTATCTATTCCCCCTAACCTAAGATCCTATTTCCCTCACCTTCTGCTACTATCCAGTCCTCTTCCCTTCTCATACTCTGGCTCATGCCCCATACCTCCTCTGTATCCATGCACTCCTTTTCCCCTTCCCCTTCTTCTAACTTCTCATAGAATTATATATACCTCCTCCTTCTGGCCCTTTCTCCCTTCCTCCCACCCCAAGTCCATGCCAGTCCCTTTCTCCAGCTTCTTATCCTCATCACTTTGCAGTCCAGTCAGTTAGCTCAAATGTTGTCATCCTCAAATCCCTGAATCTTACTCCTAACATCTATGAAACCGGCTTAAAAATCGTGGATTTTTTAAAACAAAGTTATTTTTCTTGCTCTTCTAATTTCAGAGCAGAGCAATAACATGATTCTTGGAGCTGTTAAAAAACACAAAGCCAAAAGAAAACAAAAAGAAAAACCCCAAATCACTATAGATCACAAGACTGACACAATCACAAGTTAGCAAAATTGCTTTTCTCCTACTCCCTGTTACCTGGGCTTATTAGCAGGTGCATTAAGAACACAGGCTTCCTGCTTTAAATTCCAGTGCTTGATATTACAGCAGACCCTGGCAGTTAAAAGGAGCAATTTCAGTGAAAGTCCTGCTCAACCCATGGAATCCTGGGTTGTAGCTTGCTCAGAAATGGAATCTTCAGAGAATTAACCTGTGAAATGCCAACATGTATGTACTGAGCATGTGCAAACTGAAATTTTCTAGAGGCAAATTTGGGAAGATTTCCAGAGGAAGAACAAAAGGTGATACCAGATTTCCTTTGTTGAATTTTAAGACCCTGCCCTAACAAAGTGGTCTATAGCATGTTTTTTTTTTAAACATTGGCAAAACATCATATTTTCCTGACTCTCATTCTGAGAAATGGCTGAATAATTTTAGTTGAAACTTTCAAATAAAAATTCAGCTTGAGGCAGATACACAGCATGGAAAATTTCATCTCAAACAGTTAAAACATGGCAAAATTATAAGCAAATGAAAACAGCACCATATTATGGGAAGTATCTGGCAACTTTAACTATTGGCAGTGCTACCTGCATTACATATATTAGGCTCTCTTAAAAATATGAAAGATCTAAAATAACCAGAAATAGGATTTTTAAAAATATCCACATGCTGAACCCTTAATATGCATGGAACATGTTTCTGCTGCTTAAAAATATTCAACTATTTTCAACATTTCTATATTTCATATGTTAGAGATATAGATATATAGAAAATCTATATTCAGCAGGGACAAAAATAACTAAGAAAAGCCTGAGAAAATATACACATTTTATGGGACTTTACTAAAAGTAGTCCAATGTGGTAAAAATCATTTAAATTCTGTGTTTAGCAGCAGCCATAGATTCTCCATTTTTACATAATGGCAATAAAATAATAAAATACTACTAATAATTAAGTCAATAAACACCTATAGATATAATCCCTCTTTGCTAAAGCATATTTTCTTAAGAGCTCTGAATGTTTATAATTTTATACTGGTATCACGCAGAAGGACATTAGACTAATTATGAGTAACATATGGACAAGCAAACAGAAGCTAAGGTGAAAATAAAGTCTAAACAAGCTTTACTATTGTATCTTTTATGATTGTGTGTTACTAGTTTGATAAAAGAATTTCCACAGAATTAACATTTTTGAGTGACTGATAAGGACACTCTTAATGAATTATAATACTAACAACTGCTAAGTATACTAAAAAAGAAGATTGCTTTGTGAAGTTTTTTTAATTTCTACAGCTTTTTGACAATTTGTTTTCATGAGATTACAAACTCCTTGGAAGGACTGTGCTTCCTATGTGCTTTTAGAGTACCTAGCAAAAGGGACATCTGATTGTGACTATTACTCTTGGCAATCAGTGCCTTAACTAGGTATTTTTGCACCAGGGGCAAAATGTTAATTTTGCGTCCCCTCTTCTTAGGTTAGCACACGTTGTGCTGTTTACTTTTGCAGCTTATTATTTTTACTTATTGCGTCTTTCTGCCCCTGATTATGATGCACCTGGTAATATCACAATATAAACAATCCTATGAAAACAGAGGATATGACACATCTGGGTTTTTCCTCTTACGTCAACTTGGTAACATCATCATATTCTTGCACTATTCCATAAATTATATTCTCTCTACTCTATTCATTGTGTAAGAAAAGGAATTGTATAGGGATAAAAATCATGACTTCTCAAATAAATATGTGAAGAGCTGGTGAAATCAACGTGTTAAAACAAGGAATGTGTATAAAGGATGTCATTTCATAATATTGTGGTTAATTTTTAACAAGTGTATATGCTTCCTGGTTTACTTTATTTTTATACACATGTAAGCAGGGTCTAAACCACTGCTTCCAATGCAGCCAGCTGAAAGGGGAAAGGAACTCTGGCTGTGGTTATGCTCATTCTGTTGTTTAGCCCTGCAAGATAATCAACTGCTGATATACAAATGCAGCTCATGCTGGAATGGGAAAGAGATCCTAAGGGTGTGTCTAGACTACAGAGTTTTGTCGAGCTGATCGGCAGAGCGGGGCAGCCATTTAAATTTAAATGGCTGCCCCGCTCTGCCGATCAGCTGTGTGTCGGCAGATCGGGGCAGCCCTTTTAATTTAAATGAAGCCGCGATTATTTTAATCGCGGCTTCATTTAAATTAAAAGGGCTGCCCCGATCTGCCGACACACAGCTGATCGGCAGAGCGGGGCAGCCATTTAAATTTAAATGGCTGCCCCGCTCTGCCGATCAGCTGTGTGTCGGCAGATC